CCTTTTCTTTCCTCACCATTGTGGAACTAATGAGTAGGTCATTAGTTTGCTAATACTATAAAACATGATATAACTTTTGTCTTAATTAAGAATCACCCTTCTGAATCCACAAACTCCATCTAGAATTCTTGTTGCTTATTATATAGTGTATGAAGTTGGAATTGACACTTCTATATCTGCTTACTGAGAAATTTAGGTTTTATTCCTGTACAGTGTCTTTCCTCATCACTTCAAGCTGCACAGGGCCCCTCCCTCTCCCTCTCCTGTTCTTGCATCCAAGATCTTAGGTTGAAGGAAGTGGATGTTTAAATACAGCTGTTTGCAAACTCTAAGAGAAGTGCCTGCATTCCTAGGCTAGGTAGAACACAGTGACCTGAGTTGTCACCTCAGCAACCTTACCTAATTACATAAACTTTCAGAATGCTAAAATATAGGGTTTGTCCCCCAAAAGGGGAGTGTGTGTTTCTTTTCATTTGGGTAAAAATAGGAATGTTATACTTAGATGGTAATGCATAGGAAGTGGAACACTTAACTTCTCACATGGCACAAATGACTAAACAGAAGCCTTTGCTTACTTTATAGAACACAGATTCTACAAGAGCTATGATAATAGTGTTTGGTTAATGTCAGCATTAAATTTACATTATAGTCTTGTGCAGAAGCACCAGCATTATGTGTTAATAACCAAGGCGGTACCTGGGCTTATATAGACTTCTTGATGTTACACATGAGCTAACACTGCGGCTTGCTGATGAATGATCATGGGAGCTTAGAGCTTTGGTGTGCCAAAGGACTCTTTGAATGAATAAAATTCTGGTCAGTGAAGGTCAGTTTCTCTACTCAAGCAAGAACAATGTTGTTTCCCTCCTAATCAGATGCACACAGTGTTTGAGAAATCCAGGAGCCCCACATAAGTGATGTGCAGCCATAGCCTGGGCAGCTCATCATGCTGAAATGAATAATCCTTAATAAAGGCTCAAACAACCATAGCGTCTTCCTGTACTATAATCAGTTGCTTTCATGGTGTGCCCTTCAGTGCTTCACAGGGAAGTGCTATAAAGTTAAGTTATCTTCTCTTTCTTGCTTCAAGGAAGGCTGAATTGGTCCAATCAGTTCTCCCCCCATGTTGTATTTGATTCTGCCATAAAGACCAATGAAGTCTGCCTCGGGTGTGTTGGAAGGCCAGTTTCCCTTTTTCTTTCAGGGCCTCTGAGTAGCACTAGACTTGAAACAGCGGGAGTCACTGTCTGTATTGTTAGGCTTCAGAATTTTCTTTAAGCACATTCTAAATCCAGTTTCATGCTTTTTCTACTTTCTTCAGTCTGTGACAAAGGTGACCCAATTGTGTTTCTTTGATATTATGAGCACAGTTCTTTGTGTTCCTGTCACAGAGACATATAACAAAATACAAAGGATAAAATTGTGTCTGTATAATAGTAATACTTATTTCATGACTACAATAACATAATTTTAAAACAATGTTGTCAGTAATGCCTAGTGTTCTATTCTCAGCTGCTTAGAAGGCCAAAGCAGGAGTGCAGGTTCAAGGCCAACTGCACTACACAGTGAGTTCAAGGACAGCCTGAGCTATTTAGTGAGACTCTTAGAGCTTTGTGTTGTGTGAAATAAGTTTTTTACTCTTGGCTTTTTGAGGGGCCCACCACCCAGCTTCCAAATAAATCACACACAGAGTCTTATTATTACTTATGAATGCCTGGCCTCAGCTTGACTTGTTGCTAGCCAGCTTTTCTTAACCAGTCTACCTTTTCCTTCTGGGCTTTTATCTTTCTTACTTCTCTGTACCTTACTTTTCTTTTCACTCCGTGGCTATCTGGGTGGCTGACCCCTGACATCCTCCTCTCCTTGTTTTCTTGTTCCTCTTCCTCTTCCTAATTTCTCCTTCTATTTATACTCTCTGCCTGGCAGACCCTCCTATCCTTTCCCCTGCCTCACTATTGGCCAACCAGCTCTTTATTAGCACCACCAGGTATTTTAGACAGACAGGCACAGTAACACAGCTTCATGGAGTTAATGCAGCATAAACAAAAGTCACACAGCTTAAAATAATATTCTACCACACTTTTGCCCACCATTTGTGAATCCCTAGGTTCAGTTCCCACTACAGGGAATTGGGGTGGAATTTTGTCAGCTCACAATAGGAGCTAATGGAAAGAAAGCACTTTTCAGGGTGTTTTTTAATAGTACTAAGATACAGTTCAAAAATAATCAAACTAATGAAAATGTCACATTGATAGAGTAGCCCACATAAAGATTTTACTTCAGAAAGACATAATTTGGTGAATGTGACTTTGATAGCAGTGATGTTAGGGTTTACAAAGTTAGTAAAATTATCTCAGAAGAGTATTTAAGTATTTCCATTGGAGTATATCATTTTATATTTAATTTTTTACAGCTATAAGTGAACTTCAAGAATTAAGGAATTTTAGATTTAATGTCTGTCTAGGTGAAGAACATGGAACTTTTTCTTTATATTGGGCTCTAATATAAATTTATAATACACTACCTGTGAAGGAAATAAATTTAACAATATAAAATGCATGTACCTTAGATGTAAAACTGCATAGCATTGATGCCTTTCTCAGTAAATAAATGTGCCATGTTTAAGTAATTAAAACTGTGTGGGAAAGTAGAAACAGAGAGTAGAAAGTAGAAGTAGTTGTAAGCAGAGTGACAGTAGCATTGCTGAAGATTTTACTTAGTTCTCTGGTTGATTGAACACATATTTTAGCAAATTTGAAATGAATGGCAGCTCTGTTTACTATGGCAACCTTTATTTGTCTTGGGTGCAGCCAAGACCACAGGCTGTGTTTTGTCATGTTGGAAATACTGAAGCCAATTTTCATTGTGGATGTGAATTTAAAAAAAAAAAAAAGCCCTCAGTATCAAGTTAGCTAGGTAGAAGCAATAAGTTTTCCTTTCCATCTCAGTCAAACATCAATAAATCTTCTGTGCCTCCCCAGAATGCTTGTAGTTCACCATCCTGGTTAGCCTTGGTACACTGCTATAGCAGGTCCCATACTTCTCATTTCCAAGGCCTATATCTCCACTGTTTATAAAGATAATTTTATATTTTATGTGGATTTCAAGGCTTAACACTTAGTTGAGAGTCTCACAGACTGCTATAGTATTCTTTACATTCATTTTCTAAATAGCAGATTTGTGCAAAATTCATTTTACATTCCTTTTCCTAGGATTGTCAGGTCATTTAGTTAGCAGGGAAATCTGGATAGAAGTGGAAAGGCAGAGGATTATGAAATAGGTAGAAGACAGATCATTGCTTTTATGGATCAGTATCTGAGCTTTTTGTCCTGTGGTCTTTACTGTGGTTTGGTATGAGTTGGTAGTTTTTCTGAAGTCATATCATTCTGTCTGAAATAAATTTAAGGCTAATTTACACCAAGAAGCCTAGTTGCCAGAATAGCACTTAATAAAGTCATGCTCTGTGAAGTTGAGCACAGAAGATTTGAAGTCATGGCAGTACCAACTGCCTCAGTCCAAAGTTAGTAGACACCCTGAAGAGCAGTAACTGTTAGTTTAGAGACAGGCCTAAAGAATGCCTGCTGTCCACACTGAGTGATTGTAGAAGGAGAGAAAGGCTCACTCTAGTATTTTAAACTTGAGCAACTATGTGTTCATTGTTCATTGATTGTATACGCTGAGAAGTACTGGTGTGAACAATACCTGTTCTTATAGAGCTTCACTGTAATAGAAGAGACATAAATAGCTGTAAATAGTCAGGGGCACCCTGAAATGGAAACACTTATAATGAGGTTATGCATTGGGTTGATTTACAAAAATATTGTGACTATGAGAATAGAGTATTACAGGCTAGCCTACTTTGGTAAGGTGATCAGGAGACCCTTCAATGAGGTAGTTTGAGTCCTAGGGCTAAGTGAGGAGAAGTTATGTGTCCTCATGTAGAGAAAGAGAGGCAAGTGCAGTGCTTGCTACTGGTGAAGAAATGGTCTCTGGGTGTTCAAAGACTAGAAGGAGAATTGTCACAGGTGCCACTTGCCAGCATAAAGGAGGAGAATGTGGTAGATAGAGTTAGAGAGGTAAAGAAACTAAGAAATTATAATAATCCCAGGAATGAGTTCATCTTGAGAATAGCGGTAAATGATAAAGGTAACCATACACCTGTATTTTAGAAGTGAAATTGTAACATTTAGAAATTTAAAGACAAAGCTGGAGGCTCAGTGGAATAACTAGGAATAATAGGGTGTCTTAGTCAAGCAGAGAAGCAGAATGGGGGAGCTTCAAAGCCCAAAGTTTGACATGCTGCTATTAAACTGTTCCTTCTGGAATCTCTCCAATAAAAACACCGGCGCATTGATGTATGAAACTTTTGAAAATCATGGCACTCTTCTTTTAAAACACTTCTTAGGGTGTTGAACAGACTTCTCTCCTGACAAGTTAACTCAGACTGCATCTCTCTTATGGTTCCTCCACCTGCAACTTCCAGTGTAGGAGCAGAGATCTCAGAGATATCTCACACTGTCAGCTGAGAATTGTATGCCATTTACTTACTGTTTCTCTTACCATGGAAGGGCTGGGTGGTGGTGGATGCTTGCCAGTAAGATTAAACTGTCCTTATGACTAAAAACCATCTCAGGACACCTCCAATTTTAGGGAGTTATCAGGATGCTGGCAAAATCTGCAGCTGAAATTTAATTTCATATGCAAATAACAAACTCATGCAGTTTGCTTACAGAAACCAAGTGATTAGGCTCAAAACTAATCCATAAATAGGGTTTAGATTTTTTTCCTTTTCTTTTTTTAATTCTAAGTTCTGTTATGCGTGGAGTACAGTGAATTTATTGTGGACATTTGCCAAACATCTGGACCTCTCTGACACTCTTGGACTCAAAGATACAATTCTGAAACTTTCAAATCCAATCATAAGCTTGCAAGTTACTGCTTTTATTCTAAGAGTAGAGTTGATGGTGCATAAGTTTACTGGCTTATTTTTCTTTTGGCAGGATTAAAATGCTCTGGTTTCAAGGAAATAACCTGCAGATTGCCAAATCCTCCTTTGGACTCTTGCGAAATCTCTCTGCCTCTAACACCCATCTGCCTATACTGACCTTATTCACAAAGGTACTGAGTAAAAAACTAAAATTTCACTTAAAAATAAAGTATTATCATTGTTGGATGAAAAAAGTTATATATCCATGAAAAAGGATCAAATCTATAAAGAAAAGCAATGGAAAAAATTTCTTCAGACTTGTTCCTCCCCAAACATCTCATTCTTCCTGTTATTGAAAGTATACTAATATATACATTGGTCTTTTTAGCCCACATTTAAAAAAGAACTATAGATTGTAATTATGATGTGTAAAGCTGTATTACTTAGAAATAAGTCAGTTCTTGTTTTTGTGGTAGTTATGTCCTAAAAACACTATAAATATTGAAATAGCAAATACTAAACCTAAGAAAAGCACTGGATTGCACTCAAATAAGCCTCTGGCCACAGTATTTTTGTGAATCAACTTATATAACCTTAGTGTATATGTGTTTCTGTTTAAAGATGTCTTATTCAGTGCATATTGTTTTGTCATTAGTATTTTGCTCATGGCCAACAACACTCCAACTCATGCCTAAATGAAGCTTGTCTGACATTTGTATTTTCTCCATGAGGCACATCAAAGCTTTCTTTTAGCACCATGCTTAGGGGCTGGTTTTTGTTTTTTTCACCAACAAAAAACACAAGACAAAAAAAAATGGCATTACCTATACAGTCACACCCATAAGACTACGTGTAATGAAACTAACTTATGTTTATAGTATGGGGGCTAAAACAAGAAGGCAAAACATTACCTTATTAGACCTTACTTTAGAAATGAACACTTCTAGCAACTCAGACTTGTTCCAGCATTGTGTATTACCATGTTGGTGACTGACTATAAAAATGCTTCCAGTATTGTTTGGGAGGTTACAAATTTTATCAAGTAGGTAAGTTCACAAATAAAGAACCTATGAATAATGAAGACTGATTATACTTGTTTTCTTATCCCTAGCATTACTGTTAACCCACAGGTTTTGTGTGTGTGTGTGTGTGTGTGTGTGTGTGTGTGTGTGTGTGTGTGTTTCTTTTTCTGTCTGTGTGAGTACACATGAGTGTGCAGGTACAATGGAGACCTAAAATTGATATCAGGAGTCTTCTATTAGTCACTCTCCACCTTATTCTTTAAGGCAAGATCTCTCAGACTTAAGTGAGATAGCCAGTCTAGCTAACCCACCTGCCCTGGGGATCTCCCATCTCTGCCTTACAAGCACTGGACTTCCAGGCAAGCTACCATGCCATGCCCACCCAGCATTTCCATGGGTTCTAAGGATCTCAGCTTCCAAGCTTGTAGTACAAGTGCTTTAACCACTGAGCCATCTCTTCCCTGCCTTAGTTTAAAAATGGTAAGAGTTTTTACCTATAGTACAAGCATCAGTAAGTATTCTTCCTAGTTAACCACTTTGTAGAATTTATAATCAAAAAGAAACATGAAAACAGAAGTTACTTTTTTAACACAACCATTCAAATAAAAAAACCTTTCTGATTTTCAAATTTTAGCTGTTTGCTGTTTGACAATTTTTTTTAAAAAAAGTTCTGACAGTTGTCTGATAACAAAGTCTGCTAGTTGTGATATTCTACACCTGTGTCTCCCAGCACTCGGGAGTCAGAGTGAGGCAGGAACAGGTTCAATACCAGCCGAGGCTACATAGCAAATACCAAATCAGCCAGGGCTTATGTAATAAGGCCTTATCTGAACTTCAACCCATCCCCCAAAAAAATGCAAAATTAAACTCCTAATTGAGAATATTTCATCTAAATTTTATGTCATCAGTATGTATTGTACCATTAGAAATTATAGAGCCAAGAATATTCCATTATCTGAGACAATAGCCCCATAAAACTAGTTGTACTCACTTGGCCATGCACTGGGTTTTTTTGTTTTTTTTTTTTTTTTTTTTTTGTTTTTGGTTCTAGCAGCAGTTGAGATAGCCAAGAACATTTGCAGAAAATAAACAAACAAAAACCCAATCTTCCATTCATCTTAATATGTATACTGAGCCCTACGAAGTACATAACAAGATATAAATAATGCACAGTCCAGTAAAAGAAGTATAAAAGTCAAGAATTTGTTCTTTGTCTAAGGCAAGTAGTAGAGTGTACTTTCCACATTGAGTTTATAACAAGGGTTTGGGGGGTTGTTTTGGTTTCTGTTTCCAGAGAGTGCTTGATTCAGGAAACAAGGTTACCAAGCTCTTCAGTTTTGTAATCTTTTGGATTAAATTCATCTTCATTTTGGCTCTTCTCCTTTATGACTGCAGCAACCCTAAGCCCAGGTCTCACATCTCAGATATCTATGGAAACAGCAACAGAAGGCCCATGGCTATTCATGGCTCTGATTGGCCCATCCCTGAACCAATCATAGGCAAAAGAGATAGGATACCCTGAATGTTTGCACCTGTGTCAGGCATCCCCCTTTCTTGCTTAGAGACAGAATTAGCCACCTGCTGAGAGAAATTCCTGTAGTATAAAACTGTAATCTTCTGCTACAAGAACGGATGGGTGGGTGATAAATGGCTATCCACTCTATCAAGAACAGAGTGAGTAATACATGCCGTGGAGAATCCTCAGACAAGCCATCCTGACCATGGGCCTTTTCTTATCTGGGTTTCTTATTCTTTCCAAAGGGTGATGAGCCTCTGGAAAGATACACATAGATATATACTCACATATTTCATTAGCAATTCATACAAACCTCCACAACAGCAAAACACCTTTATGAGGCTCGTCTCAAGCTTTTATTATAAAGAGGTACATCTGGTACATCTGCAACTTAGCATATTCTTGTTTTGCTTTTACTTTCAGGCTCTTACATTGATCTTTTGACACTTTCTCAGGAAATTTTAGCATGAGTGTCTTACAGCAGCAAACTATCCACAATCTGTTTATTGTTAAAAATAATAACAATTTGATGAGGTGAATCCAGCCAAAAAGACCTAGAAATAACCAAGTCCTTATTTTCAAAACATGCCCTGAGTTTACCTTAAGAAAAGACATGTCTTCCTAATATGTTAAAAAGCAACTTTTACAAAAGCAGAACTAATACTGAATCTATGTTGAACAGCTTTTACACAAGTAACAGTAATGCTGAGTATTTTGAGTTCATATAAGAGAACCTATAGCTGGACTCTTTTCTTACACCCAGTGGCTAAGAGACCATTAATATCTGCCAATCTCTCTTCTCCCCCATCTTCCACATAAGGAAGTTAAAGAGTACAAACCACAGCAGGTCCTAGCACTTGCCTGTGCTTCAGGTAGAACATTAGTCCATTGTGGACACCTCTAATACTAGAACTAAAAACACTGTGAAATGCTACAGTCATTCATCTAAATTGAAGAGACTTTTTTTTCCTCTTTTTAACTCCTGCATGAGATAATTAATCCTTTGTACTGATTAGGAAAAAACAGTCAAAAAAGACTTAAACCATTCAGGTCAATTGTATGAAGCCACCAAGTTTCTCCTTACTTAGGAAGGACATAGCCCTTTACTAGGTAGATGGGTCAGTGAAAAATAGTTGAGTATGTAGTGTACATCACACAGAGAGAGAGAGGGGGGAGGCGGGAGTTATATACACACATAAGGAAAATAAAAACAACAACCAAAAAGTGCAGAGAGTATCTATCATGACATAGTGGCTGTTTAGGAGAGTCTGTGGTAATGTTTTATTTTGGAAATAAAACCATGTGATCTACATAGTAGAAAACTATCCTTTGAAGAAAGTGCAACATGCCTGTGGTGTATGTTTGGTTTTTTCCTTGGGTAGGGGGTATTATACCAAATACCTGCCTTTGGATTTAACGGCTTTTGTTTTTCCTCTAGGATCCATGTCCACTCTGTGATGAAGCCAAAGAAGTCCTCCAGCCCTATAAAGACAGGGTAACTTTCATGTATTTGGGATGGATAGAGTTTACTGTATAAAGTATCTGCTTAGATCCTTTCTTTAGGAGAAGAGATTTCATTTAGAGTTTGTTTGTATTCATCAGCGAGTTTAGTACTGACTGATTTCCATGAAACTCATTACCCCTAAATGGTTTTCTCTGAATGTTACTGGACATTTTTTTCCTCTCTGATTCTTGCTGTGATTCAGAGTTAACTATCAGAATGTTCATGCTTACTTTAAACTTCAGCCCCATTCCTTTTATCTTACCTTGTAACTTCCATGGATGTATTTTCTTTTAGCAAACCTTTGTAGCTGAGCCATTCTTACACCAAGACATTTACATCCTTATTTCTAACTTCATTGGGAACAGGGCAGAGCCCTGCTGATGGATGGAGCAGGTATAACAGAAAAGTAGGGAAATGAGGAGGTAGAGTAAAGGTAAAGAAACCAGTCAGGCTTTGGAAATGTAGGCCATTGGATTATTGGAGGCCTACAACAAACAAGAGGAAAGCTATGTGTTTTCTCCTTTACAAAGTCTGGGCTTGGCACATCATTGCAGTTGCTGTAAAGCTCCATGGCCTATAAAACACAGTGTGTTAACCTATCTGTGTTTTAGTTTATTTTACAGGAGGTGGACATCACACTTCCAGAAAATTCTACTTGGTATGAAAGGTATAAATTTGACATCCCCGTCTTCCATTTGAATGGCCAGTTTCTGATGATGCATCGAGTAAATACCTCAAAGCTTGAAAAACAGCTTCTGAAAATTGAGCAGCAGGTGCTGGAAACAAAATGATGCCTCATGATTTCCACCTTCTCTGTCAGAAGGCATCTGCCTGAGGGTATGGCTAGGGTCTTGAATTTCCTCGTCACTGTCACAGTGCCCTTATGATGGTATCACATAAATAATATGTTGCCATTACTCTTCTGATTGATTCAAGTACCCACATGAGAACAGTTTACTTGTGGGCATTTTGTAAACTTGGAGTGCATTGTGTGGAGGGGAAAGCTCTGGGAGGAAGGGGTCTATTTGTTGACTTTAGTCTTCCCTTGCATGTGAATCTGAAAGCACTTGTCATGCACTGGACAGTGTCATGATGAAAGAAGACACTGTAGTCTGCCGCTAAGCAGTCCTGGAGCCTAATTTGTAGTGGAGTAAATGTTCTCCCCCTCAGTAAAGAGAAATGTGAATTGTTAATAACTGTGCAAGTCAATAAAGGGGTTTTTCAATGAGTACTTCTGCATGCAGCCTATTTCCGTGGAATTTAATAATACCTGTTTAAAATTAGTATTCACTTTTGTTGAGTAGAAGAGAATAATTATTCTACCCAAAGAGGTTTCACTTCAGAAAGACAAAGGAGCCTTAATCCTCCAGAATGTGTATCACAGACTCAGCTGTACAAGTCACTGTGGAATTGACTTGTAACGTTGAAGACTGCCTTAAATTATCATCAATTAAATTAATTCAACTAATTGTAAGATAGTAACTGTCAAATTTTAGTATCTTGAGAAAATCCACTTTTAATCATTACTGCTTGTATGGAACATCTAAACATAAAGTACTATTTTATATAAAGATAAAGGACTAAAGATGTAGTTTGTACCCTTATTTGTATTTTGTTAGATTTGTTAAAGATGGATTCACTTAAAAACAAAATTATATTTTCTCTTAAATCACATCACTATGAGGTTCTTCTGTGAACTGAACTATTTGGATACCATGAGCCACTAGATCTGTAAATGATCAGTGATTTGGTCATTAGAATTATAGAATATCAGAGCCCACTAACCTTAGACGTTGTCCATAGATTATACATGAGGAAGAATCTAAAGTTTAGGGAATTTGAGTGACTTAATTCATAGTCACCAAGCTACTCAGCCACTAGGCCAGTTCTTGCCAGAACCATGGCATTTATAATATTCTCTGGATTTGCTGTAGTTGTTCCATTGTATTATTTCAAGTATAGCATCTCCAGCCAATGTGAGTTCAACACAAAATAAGTTGTCCAAAGTCACAACGTCACAATTTGAAGAAAGAAAGAAAGAAAGAAAGAAAGAAAGAAAGAAAGAAGGAAGGAAGGAAAGAAAGAAAGGGAAAGGGAAAGAAAAAAAGAAAAGACTTACAGTGGCTGGAGAGATGGCTCATTGGTTGAGAGCACATGCTTCTCTTCCAGGACCTAGGTTCATTCCCCAGCACCCATATGCTGGCACACAACCATCCATAACCACTGTTCCAGGGGATCCAACAGGCACCCATGTAGTACATGTTCATGTATGCAAGCAAAACATTCATACACATAGAGTAAAATAAGTAAATCTAAAAAATTAAAGTCAAAAAAGCCTTGTAACTGAAGAGCAGTGCTCATGCTTTACACAAGCCCTTTAGTAGACAGACTTGTAAAATGATAAAGTGTCTTACCCTTGTTTAATTTCCTCCTCCATGAGTGAATAGAAATGTCTTTGGTATAGCTGTGTGATATTATATGGCAAAGGAGAGATTATCCTGGGTGTTCCTGCTTTAATTAGATAAGCCATTGAAAAGCTTCAGAGAAGTAAAAGAGGTCATTTCTAGCTATCCTGGAAGTAAGAAAATATCAGTCTTGTAAACTGTCTATTTGGGGCCACATAGCAAGAGGCTTGGGAAAGACTCTAGGAAGTAAGTAGTTCCTGTGACAACACCAACAGGAGAAAGGAGACATCAGTCTTATAACTTCAAGGAAGTAGGTTCTGCCAGTAATCAGTGAACTCAGAGAGAACCTAGCCCTGAGGGAAATCTGCCCTAGATAGCACCTTGACTTCAGCTCACTGAGTCTCTGCTCACAGAACCTAAATACTGCACAGCAGACCCTCCAACAGTAGGGCTGGCAATAAAGCATCATCCTGCTGAGTATTATGGTATATGGGAAGTGCAGAGGCTAAGGGTAAAATAGTACTTCATCAGAATAGTTTCAACAATAGAAATTTTTTCAAGCCTTGATTCTGCAATATGGCTGTGTGTGATAGTGCACTCCTTTACTTCCATCACTCAGGAGGCAGAGGTGGGCAAATCTCTGAGTGCGAGACCAGCCTAGACATAGTAAGTTCCAGGACAGCCAGAGTTACATAGCAATATCTTTGTTCAAACAAACAAACAAACAAAATCTACATTGTACCTACTTTCAAGATATTTAAGCTAAGGTATTGGCTAAGGCATTAAAAAGACAATAATGCCAATTCCAGAAACTATTAGGTCACACCCAGGATTGCAAGAGATTAAGGAGAGGATATTGAGAAGGTTTAAAAAAAAAAAAGTTAAGAAAGGTGGGCTCTCACTTGGTTTCCACCAAAAGCAAAGATATGGGGCTACCTGCTATCAAGAGAGAGGGCTGCAAAAGTAGTCAGAACAGAACTATGTCTATGTCTTTGGCAGTCATTTGAGAAATGGTTTGGCAAGCATGTTTGCTGTTATGAAGGAAGCTACAATTTTGTTTGTCCAGAGGTGTATGGTATGGTGTGATGTGTGTGTGTGAATGGATGTGTATGCATGTGCATGTGTGTGTATATTTGTGTGTCTGTGTGCCTGTCTGTCTTCCCTGACCAAATGTGGGCCAAGCATGAAAGAAGGTCAGTGTAAAGCACCTTCAGTATAAAATTTTATATATATATATATATATATATGTGTGTGTGTGTGTGTGTGTGTGTGTGTGTGTGTGTGTGTGTGTATTACATATATTGTTTATATACTATAGCATATATAAGCTCACTATAGCTATCCCATAATCTGAACATTGTTTACATAGGCCTAATGTTTCTTACTTAAAAATGTCAACAAACTCACTTCTCATTTGAGAGAGCAGTGGTTATGTGATGAATATTCCTGGAACTCTTCAGCAAAATCCCAGTAGATGACAAAGAGAAAGGCAGATACCTGGAAATGTAGTATCTAAAAAGCAATTTAGTTATGATACTGTTGGCAGATATCAAAATGTCATAGTCGCTTTCCTGTAATATTTGTGGCTGCAGGTACTTGTCTTGGAGGTTCAGTTCTTGGAGACTAATTTTTCCTGTGTAAAGATTTATACCATAAGGTCAATGTCTACCCCCAAAAGTGATGCAGCTCCCCCACCCCCTTCCTTTAAGGAAATACATTAAGAAGGATTAGAAGGAACATGGAGTTTGAGTCTTCTGTTGCTGCTCTCAAATGGTCTTTACAGATGCCTCGTTGTAATTGCTTAAGGACTTTCTGGAACCCATACTGTTTAGACAGTTCTTTTGAGAAAACAGGATTCACTCAGAGGGTTTTGGTTTAATAATGTAACAGCTTCATGGGCATCTTCAACAGAAATCACAATACGGCATGCCATTACGAGACATGGGAAACAGATACTGCCCTTGCACTCGTCCTGGCTTCCTTTTCTTTCATTCTCTCCAGGCTCTGAGCTCCCCTGCTCACACTGGACCTCCTTCCACAAAGCTGCAGCCTGCCCGTGTCCATAATTCCTTCAGAGATTCCACAGTACAATGCTCTAAGCAGCTCAGGGCCATCTTCCCTCAGCTCTATTTTGGAATCTCAGTAGAAATTTTATTCATATTTTACAATCAGCCATTTAAATTTTAAGGTGATTGAAACTTCAAGAGAACTGAAACTATGAGCCACCTTTGGGACAGAGCCAATCCCTGGCCCAGTTGGCTTTGGTAACCAATGCAGATCATAACCATAGTCCTTGTCCATGCATCAGAATGGAAGCAGGGCAAACAATAGTGATCAGTAACTGCTATGTATCATTTAAATGTGTCATTTTGATATACTCATCAAAAGTTGAGAGGATGGTGAGTTCATTTATGTCCCACTTGGTAGAAATGAAGAAGACTTGAACCAGAATGGTAAGCAGAGAAACTATCAAGAATTTAAGACAGATTGACAGAAATCCATGGCTGATTGAATTGTTGGGAAGGTGGTAATGGAGAAGTTTTGGGAAACACAGCTGTGAGGTCTCAGTTGATGACCAGTGTTTTCGCTGTGGCTATTGGGTAAAACCTGGCATGTTTTTCCCCCAAGACAGAAGGTATAAGAGGATGAGAAAGTTGTGTTTGATGGCTAGGGAAAATGGAACATGGTGAATTTGCCATGTTGTAGACCATTCTGGTAAAGATTAAAATTCAAAGTGTGAAACAGAGGTCTAGGTTTGAGATGCAGGTATTTAAGAGCAGGTATTTCATCCACTTGGCATATTAGCAGGAAAGCAAGAAAGTACCAAGACCTGGAGAATACACAAAATAGAGGAAGTTGCCAGTGAAGGGATGAGAGATGACAGACCTGGAAACAGTAGGAGCTGGCCCATTTACTGTTCTATGATAGCTGTGATGATAGTGCCTGCACTGCTCCAAGCACTGGAGATAGGACACAAACCAGAGATCCTTCTCTCAGGGACTTGCATCCAAGAAGGAAAGCACCACATCAATTGAAATAACTCTCCTCAGAAGAGGAGCTTTCTAGATACTGAACTTTACATGTCAAAAGTGGTTGAGGAAATGGCTGAGTGGTTAAGAACACCAGTGCTTCGCCAGGGGACCTGAATTCAATCCCTAGAACACACATAGTAGCTAACAAACAACTATACACCAGTTCTGGAGACCCAACAACGTTTTCTGGTTTCTGGGTTTACTGCATGTATATGGGGACCAGACACATACATGTAGGCAAATCACCTATACACAGTAAATATCAAGAGAGTCATGACAGGCTGAAGAGACTTCAGATTTAAAACAAGGGAATCAGTGCTACCATAAACAAACCGAACACTTTACAAGATACTTGGGTCCTTGTCCCCAAACTTGGGGATGTTCCTTAGAGTGAAAAGGAGCATTGAAGGAGTGGTGAATGTCAACATAGAAAAATCCTATTATCCACATTCAATAGCATGCCTGTATATGAAGGACAAAAGGGGTTTGACTGCAGAAAAGGAGAAAATGTGGAAACAGAAGCAAGGAATTAGCCTCATACAAGAAAGGGGTCATGAGCTTAGTAATCCTAGTGGCCTTAAGAGGGTAGAAAAAGCCAAAGATCAGCAGTCTCCCTAGAGCAGTGGATCCCAACCTTTGGGGATCAAACAACCCTTTCACAAGTCTCCTAGGACCATCCAAAAATACAGATATTTACACTACTATTCATAACAGTAGCAAAATCACATTTAAAAAGTAGCAAGAAAAGTAATTTTATGGTTGGGGGGGGTCACCACAACATGACGAACTAG